TAGGAACATCTCTGGATCTGCCCGCCAGGTTAGCTGAACCTGTGAGCTCTGGGTTCAGTGAGTGACCCTTGTGATTTCAACTGTACAACATGCAGCGACAGACCCTGGAACTCTGAGTCCTAACAGATGTCTCCATCAACTCCCTCCCATCAGGGCTCAGGGAACCACACTGAAGAGGAGGTAGAAAGATTGTAAGAGCCCGAGGGGATGGAGGACACCAAGGACACAGCGTCTTCCAGACACAACAGGACTGACATGTTAACCCACAGAGACTGGCAGCATGCACAGATCCAAACCAGACGGTCCCAGTGCTGAGATGGGGGAGTAGCCATGAGCTCCCATCCCCAACCAAGAAACTTTCTCCAATTACCAACCATTCACAAAGGAAAAATTAGCTTCTCCAAGAAAGTCTCATTGGGTATACAAACCACACTTAAGGGAGGGCCCCGTGCCCAGCAGCAGCAGATGGCTAACACAAACTCACAGGTATTTTGGATTTTTTTTTCTTGTCTCATATTGCACGTGTTTCTCCTGCTTTCTGAGAATTTTTTTGGGGGTTTGTCCTTTTTATTTGCCTGCTCTTCTTCCCTTCCTTCCTTCCTTCCTTCCTTCCTTCCTTCCTTCCTTCCTTCCTTCCTTCCTTCCTTCCTTCCTTCCTTCCTTCCTCCCTCCCTCCCTCCCTCCCTCCCTCCCTCCCTCCCTCCCTTCCTTCCTTTCTTCTTCTTTTGAGACAGGGTTTCTCTGTGTAGTTTTGGTTCTTGTCCTGGAACTCACTCTGTAGACCAGGCTGGCCTTGAACTTAGAGATCTGCCTGGCTCTGCCTTCTGAGTGGTGGGATTAAAGGCGTGTGCCACCACCAGGCTGCCTGTTTAGTTTCTTAAGGGAGAGAGAAAGAAGATGTGGTGTTGGAAAGGTTCGGAGGTGGGAGGAGATAAGGGAGAGGAAACTGATCAGAATAAATTATATGAAAATAACTGTTTTCAATAAAAAATTGTTTTTTAAAAAAGTGGTTTGGTGAGATGGCTCAGCAGGTAAGAGTACTCGCAGCAGAGCCTGATGACCTGAGAACGAGCCCTACGACAGAACTAACTTAAAACTGTCCTCTGACCACCACACATGCTCCGCTGTGGCACACACACACCCCCTCCCAAATAAAATACAAGAAAAAATTTAAATTAGTAGAGAACAACTGAGGAAAACATTCTACATCCAGGTGTGTGTGTGCGTGCGCGCAAGCACACATGCATACACACACTGTACACACAATCATATTACACGCACAAAAAACCCATGGTATGTGTTGTCAAGCATTCATGCGAAAGATCGATTACAACAGTGCTAAAAAGCAGGTGTGAATATGTAAAAGCTTCACAGGTCCACGAGTGCCTGGGAGCTTGGAGCCCAGGCCAGTCCTGCTCTCTGGCTGGCTGAAGGTGGGAGAAGCAGCTGAACCCATGTGACCCTCACCCCTGGCGGCTAGACTCTGAGAGCAGAGTAGCCAGGCCAGCCTCTGCCATCCGAGTGGGCACTTATCTTTGAGTGGTGTCCACCAGGAAGAAGGCGGTGTGTTCTCAAACACCTCTGCCCTTGTTTACCTGGCATGGCTTTATCAACTGCGTTCAGTGCACAGTGGAGCCGTCTGAATCTTGCTCAGGACTGAAGGATACCAGTGTTCAGAACTGAAGAGATGGGTCAGTGGTTAAGAGCACTGGCTGCTCTTCCCAAGGACATGTGTTCTATTCTCAGCACCCACATGGTAAGCCACTGATAACTCCAGTTCCAAGGGGGTCTGATGCCCTCTGACCTCTGCATGCAATGCCCGCACACAGTGCACTGACACACGTGCAGGCCAAACACGCACACACGTAAAATAAAAGGTTAAGTTCTTTAAACCACCTGTGTTCCTGAATGAAGATCACGGCAATACCACTGTTTCCTCTGCCCCTGTTCTAGGGCTAGCTGCCCTCCCAGGGAACAGGTGGCACAAGACAGACAGTGTGGGTCACTCTCTGAGCACATCTGTCCAGGCCCAGCTCAGGGAGGGGCTTTGGTCAGGGCACAGCAGGCCTCGTGACAACAAGCAAAGGTTTCCCTGAACATAAACCTAGACAAAAGGCCCACGTGGGCTGCAGCACCCCTGTGGCCTGGGTAGGAGTACCCCCATGTTGCCACAGAGCTCAGCTTAAGCCTTAAACCTGTGTTTCCTTAGAGAGCTCCAGCCCCACCCAACACAGGGAGAGGAGTACAGTGCAGAGCCCAGAAGCAGAAAGTGAAGGGTGGAGCTGTGGGCAGGGTCAAATGCTTGCCCAGCAATAGACTAAAGGCAATGGCGCCCTCTGGTGGCCATATACTGCCAGCACCTGAGTGGCTCCCGCTAAGCAGCTCTAGCTCAGCTCAGGGAAACTGCAAAAAGGCTAAAGCAGGGGCCCTGCAGCCCTGAGCACCAGCATGAAGCCTGGGTGCTTCTGTGCAGGACTACAGGAGCACATAGGACTCCTCGGTGCCTCCCCACAGCCTTAAGTTATGAAACAGCATGATTAGGCAACATCACTGCAGGTGTACCCGGGGGACACTGCATCCTCCTGAGTACTTGAATTTTATTTGGCTTTTAAAACGTCTTATTCACATAAAAAGGCATAGCATGCCTTCTGGGAGTTGGTTCTTGCCTTCCATCTTGTTCTCCCGCTGCTCTGCATACCCCAGGCTAGTGGCCTGTGAGCTTTAAAAGGACGCTGTCTCCGCAGGTGCGCACACACCACAGCACCTGGCTCTACACCTGGGGTCCAGGGCCAAACGTGGGTCATCAGGCTTATGTGGTAAAGCCTTTTATGTGCTGAGTCGTCTTCCAGGCCCAATTTCTTCTGTAGCCCAGGCTGCCCTCCAGGTTGCTGCATAGCAAAGGATGACCTTCAACTTCTGACCCTCCTGCCTCCACCTCCCGAGTGCTGGGATTGCAGGTGTGCACTACAATGCCTGGGTTACGCTGGGCTTTGTGCCTGCTGAGTAACACTTCACTGGCTGAGCTACAGCCTCGACTCCCGAGCATGTCACTTCTGTCACATCCAGGACACTGGAGCCAAACAGGAGAACCAGGGATTTTCCTATACACAGGGCAAGGTGGGAAGGGCAACAGCCGGGCTCCAGGCCATGCTCAGGCTCCTTGGTTATCTCTCAGTCTGAGGATTTCAGCTGTACATAGCATTTTAAAGGTTTATTTGGGGCAGGCAAGATGGCTCAGTAGGTAAAAGTGGTTGTTACCAAGCCACACAATCGGCCAGGACACCATGAAGAAGAGGACTCTCCAAAGTTGTCTCCTGCTCTCCGTGTGTGTGCTGTGGTGTGTGTATGCACCTACACATAAATACAGTTTTGATTGTTTATTTTTTGAGGGTTTCTCTGTGTAGCCCTGGCTGTCCTGGAACTCACTCTGTAGACCAGGCTGGCCTCAAACTCAGAGATCCGCCTGCCTCTGCCTCCCCAGTGCTGGGATTAAAGGGCTGCACCACCACTGCCCAGCATAAGCAATTTTATGAAGTTTATTGTTCCTGTACTGCTCCTTGCTCCTAACTCCAGAAATGAGTTAACAGCAGTGAGCAGACCAGGCCGCTTCTGCTCAGCCTAGGAAACGGTGCTCAGCCATCTTTGAGCTGCTCAAGGCTGAGTGCGGCCAGCCATGGGGACAAGGCTGGATGACTCATCCCCAGGAGCTAGTGATGTCATTTTGAGGGCCATGTCCACTTCCTCCCCCTCTAGTCACCCAAGCCTGCAGCTCAGCTCTGACATCAGGCTGACCGCTCAGGCTCTTCAGCTGTAGCCAGTGTTCAGGTGGTGACTGTCCCTTCAACCTGGCAAGAGGCCAGCCTCCTTCTCCACCAGCCGGCTGACGGTGCGCAGGGCCAGGGGCAGGGCCGTGTTGGTGTCTCGGTGGTAGCGGGGCTGGCACACGCCTGCAGTGGGTGTGAACACAAACTGGGCCACACTGGGCATCTTCAGGAGAGCCAGTAGCTCTGTGGCCCGGGTACGGATGGCTTCTGCGTCCTCCTCACTGTGCACAGAGCTGGTGGCTGGGTTCTGGGCCAGGGTCCGAATTTTTGACAGGAACAGTGACACCCTGGGGGGAGAAGGGTTCGGCTATTTAGTTGCCAAGGACCAGTTGCCTGAAGCCGCCCTCTATGGGTTCCTGCTCTGTGCTCCCTAGCAGGATACCTTGGGATCAGGTCTTGGCTCCGGGAGGCCAGCTTGGTCAGCGTGGTCATGAGTGCAGTGACCACCTGTGGGGGACAGCAGGGCAGGTCGGCCGAGGGACGGGACTGGGTGACTTCGAACAGCAGGGCCTCCAGGGCTTCAAAGAACCTGTTGATCTGCTCCACTGTGCACCTCTTGTCACAGGTCACCGACAGGTACTCGCCAATGGCCCACACCTACGCCCAGAACAGAGGCTCAGCACACACGGGGCTTCCTGTCCGATGGCGGGAGGGCGGGCATGTTCTTACCACACAGGTGAACATGCTGGCTCGGCTGCAGATGCTGCTCACGCTCCCCACAAACTCGAGAAGCTCTCGGGACAGCTCCACCACCAGCGACGGCTTCAGCTTACACAGTACCAGGAGCTGGGAGCTCAGCACCCTGCCAGGATAGAGGGAACCAACCCTGTGAAGCTGTGTGTGCTCGGGTCAGATCTGACCCCAGCCTATTTGATGCGGGAGAGCCAGGAGCAGTCAGTTGAAGTCAGGAGATTAAGAACTGCCCCCTATTGAAAGCTTTTCACTCCACTGGGGACATGCCTGCCTGAAATCCAGGCTATGAGAGAGTGAGGCAGGCGGAATGCTGAGTTCTAGGATAGCCCGGACTGGAGTGAGACCTGTCATAAAACTGAAGAGTAGATGGCCTGCCTAGAATCCCCAAATGAGGGGCTGGGGTGTGACTCAGTGGTAGAGCACCTGCCTAGACTACCCCAGTGAGGGGCTGGGGTGTGGCTCAGTGGTAGAGCACCTGCCTAGACTCCCCCAGTGAGGGGCTGGGGTGTGGCTCAGTGGTAGAGCACCTGCCTAGAATCCCCCAGTGAGGGGCTGGGGTGTGGCTCAGTGGTAGAGCACC